AAAATTGAGGCAAAGGTAGTTGAGTGTGAGGAAAACAGCAGATAATATGAGACTATGGATTGCCAATTCTCAATGCAGATAAAACAAGGAACACTACAATAACTCACATAAATCAAGAGACTCAAGGGAGGTAAGATCACCTATCTGACTGGGAAGCTTTGTAATATCTGAGTAAGCTACAGTTGCAACATGGAGACAAAGGCAGTTGAGTGCGAAGAAAACAGCAGATAATATGAGACTATTGATTGAAAATTCTCAATGCAGATCAAACAAGGAACACTACAATAACTCACATAAATCAAGAGATTCGAGGGAGGTAAGATAACCTATCTCAGTGGGAAGCTCTGTAATAGTTGTGCCAGCTACAGTTGCAAAATGGAGACAAAGGCAGTTGAGTGCGAAGAAAACAGCAGATATTATGTGACTATTGATTGACAATTCTCAATGCAGATAAACAAGGAACACTCCAATAACTCACATAAATCAAGAGATTCGAGGGAGGTAAGATCACCTATCTGACTGGGAAGCTTTGTAATATCTGAGTTAGCTTAAGTTGCAAAATGGAGGCAAAGGCAGTTGAGTGGCTACTATTAATGGGCAATCGTCATGCCAAAAATACCGCGCCCACCAATAACTCACGTATAATCAAAATTTTCAAGTTCTTCAGAGAACCTATTTGATCGGGTAGCCTTCGAATTCCTTTTATTTTACCTAGGTGCATAATGGACGCAAATGCAGGTGAGCGACATTGAAATAAAAATGAAAATGCATCAGTGAAGTGACAGCATGCTGTTGAAACATTGCCCACTCAGTTAACTCACTTAAATCCATCACTTCCAGGGCCCCTTCTTTTGAGCACTCAATTCCATTCCAGAGACAATGTTGCAGTGATTGTGTCGAATTCTTTTCGAAAAGCTTGAGCATTTTTAATGCAAATCTTTCAGCGAAAAATTCATCGTGGCAGAATGAATTTCCAGATTTGTCGTCATTCATCCATTTGGCTGTGTCCAACGAATGATCTTTATTATTGTGTATGTCGGATATTGTGTAATAATCAGAAAGCTTCTGAACTGTGCAGTTTGGAATTGTAAAGAAAGTGAATGAGCTCTTGTCATAACCGGTCATTCGAGCAATTTTTGTATCCATATTGTTACCGTGCCCTTGAAAAATTGTCAAATTAACATTTACATAAAAAATGTCTTCAAGTTCAATGTTACACGTTGCTCCATCACTGACGTGAACAATTTCATTCTTATTGATCATCTCTGGACTCAAATCAACAATTAAAACACTTTTGTTCTCACACTGAAACTTCAAGGTAGGAGCAACAGGATCTGCATCTTTTCCTGCCCACCTGCTAAGAGTGAAGTTATTGAGGCGAATGGTGATTGGAACCATATCTGGGTCCTGACAATTTGGAAATCCATGTCCAGGAGTATTTCCCAATAAACCAAATGGTTGTGTGACTGCACCAATTCCACAATTGGAATTTGAACACGTAGCAGAGCAACAGTCGCCACCGTCAAACCGATATCCATTTTTTTCATGATTCAACTCGTCATTACAAATACCGTTGTTCCACGCCTCGCACAGCATGCCCTTCATATGGTCTTCATCTTGGAGAAAATATAGATCAAGAGGAGTGCCTACTGCAGAAAACCATCCTTCCGAAAAAGTGGTGGATATGTCAAAAGCTTGCATCCTCGTCGAATACGCAATCCTTTCGAAAGCACAAGGATCATATGTTACATCACCCGCTACGTCTTTCTCGACAATGAATAGGATCCAACGACGTTCCTCTATGCAGTATCCAAACTGATGAAAAATGTCCAAACTATCCTTCTGCACCTTCTGGTAGATATTTCTGTTGTATCCATTGTTTGATATGGTCGCTTTTTCATCCAATTCATAGCATCCACTGTAATCTTGTAGCTTTTCATCTCCGAACTCGACTCGAAATATTTGCGTCATCCATGTTTTCTTACTGTCTTGAGCATGTATAACGGCACCTGCCATTGAAAGAAGGATAACACCGGATACTCCTACTGCAAAGAGGAATCTTTTCATCTTGTCGCATCGAGACATACAAGGCGGAAGAACCAGTGTTTCAATGCGTTTTGCTTCATCTTCAAGTGTTCGTCCATATTTCCCCTTTCGGGCCAAGTCAAATGCAACATTGTCCAATTCACTAATGAAGTTCTGTGAAGAGGACGGAAAGAATGGAATCAAAGCGGTAAGGACAAAAGTGACAGAGAATTATTGTCTCAAGCTTTCAACATGTTTTCAGTGCACTCACAACTGCTGTAAAATTTAGGACAATGTCAATCACGCTGTCTGAGATTAGAATAAGTAGGAGTGTTGCTAGCATTGCAATGAAGCCTTGCAACCCACGAGCAATACAAGAGAACACCATAAATTTAGTTGCGCCTTTTCCCACCGGAAAAGTCTGAACTGCATTAACGACATCCATCACACTGAACTTTGCAAATGATACGTAGCACAAAATTGAAATAATTTGTGTTGCCTTGACATAAGGACTCGCATTTGCAGGAATGATCATTCCAATGGCGCTATTGTGTGGATTATCTGAATCCAACTTGTTGCTCCATTTGGTATCGAGGGCACTGATCACCATGAGCACTAGCAATGACATCTGGAACGCGAAGACCACCATCCCATAGCTAAAGAAGATGGGATTGCGATCAGGACCATGAAGTGACATGAAAGAGTAACAGTCTTTTGGATAGGTATCGTTGCACTCGGTCAAGTCGTTTCCAGAAAACGCACTTTCTGACTTCGTCTCTTCGTGAGTTTTGTATTCGTCGTCGGTTTCCACATCGTTTGCCTCGCTCTCCTTGGTTTCGTTGGTATCCTTGGGATGGGTTTCTTCCTCGCCTTTCTGTGACAAAGGATCATCGACGATGATATCCGTGGGAATGTCTTGTTCTTCGTCCCCACCCCCGTGGCGGGCCAGGGACACTGCTCCATTGCTGCCCACGCTTTTGGATTCGGTTTCCTCGTTGCCCTTCGGATTGTCATCCGCTTCTTGCAACGAAAAGGTATCGCCCGTCATCGGCTGTTCGGGATCCGAAAAGGCATCGCCCGTCATCGGCTGCTCGGGATCCACGTCTGGTTCTTCCAACGACAAATAATACTCGACGTACTTTGCCTCGGGATTGTTTTCGATGGTGCGGGAGCTGTTCTTCATCCTGGTGTCAATGCTGGTGTTGGTATTGTTTTGTGTGCGCGTTTGCAGGTGTTCGATTTTTGTCGCGGTGGCGGTGGTGGTGGATATTGGTGGCGGTGGTTGGCCATGAAGGATCGAAGATTGCATTTCCGACCGATGATCGAAACAGGATAGAGCAACAAGCAACGAGATGAATTAGATTTGGGAGGAGAAGCATGTGGGTTGTGATCACCCGAAGACAAACAGTTATCAATGGATGGGTTGTTCTTTGATGGGGGGAGGTGGAGAGCTGCAACAACAAACAGTTCGATACAAATGATTTCGCTGTGTGCAACTGCTGGTTGCTGGCTCGCAATCCCGTACGCAGCTCCTGTTCTAACGGCGTTGCTCTAGACTCAAACAATACGGAAAGAAAACAAACCTACCGTAAACGCCGAACTTAATCTGTATCCAAATTCTAGGGTGCTTCGAGTATCGAGTACCATTTGTATTTGTGAGAAGTCAAATGGGAAGACAGAGCAAGCGATCCGAGAACTAGGTTGTCGAGCGTCGGATCTGCCTCGCGTTGTGTTCTGATCTTTGACGCATACAGCTCACGTGATATCATTTTTCGATGTTCCGATCTTTGACACATACAGCTCAGGTGATATCATTTTTTCGAAATGCATGGCATGCAGTCATTGAGTTCTTGGGTTGCGATCTTTTATTGAACAAGTATCGTACTACCAATAGTAAAGTTTTGTCTCGGTTGTCGAGCGTCGGATCTGGCTTGCGTTGTGTTCCGATGTTTTACAAATACGGTACAGCTTAGGTGATATCATTTTTTTCGAAATGCATGGCATGCAGTCATTGACAAAGATTGAGTTCTTGGGTTGCGATCTTTTATTGAACAAGTATCGTACTACCAATAGTAAAGTTTTGTCTTGGTTGTCGAGCGTCGGATCTGGCTTGCGTTGTGTTCCGATGTTTTACAAATACGGTACAGCTCGGGTGACATTATTTTTTCGAAGTGCATGGCATGCAGTCATTTACAAAGATTGAGTTCTTGGGTTGCGATCTTTCATTGAACAAGTATCGTACTACCAATAGTAAAGTTTTGTCAATTGGTTCTTCTTTGTCAGTTGTGACATGGTACTTAACGAACACTTACAGTACCGAATTTTTTAAAAACAATACCTCAATTTTTTTTTTTCTTACTGTAAGAAACCGTAAGTCTCTCTTGGAAAGAGGGCTCGGATATCGATGTATTTCTCTTACATAATGATCATGATGTTTCTCTTTCGTATCATGCTGTTTTAAATCTGACACTAGCAAGCGGCATGCGTGATGTGCTCGCTCTTCTTTTATCTCTTACTGTACTCCCATTGGTTGATTTCCGAAAAACATACAAAAATACGTTCTTCAATGGATTGAACTTCGTTGTTCGTAGAACGTACCTACACGAGTAGTTGTAACTCGTATGACCGTACCGGTAGGATTACTGTAGGATCCAACAGCACTCGGGTTTTTCTTCGTAAGAAAACTGAAGTCCGCCACAAGGTTTGTTCCTCGTACTCCTTTGTTTGGCGCATTCATATGCACACCACTGTTGTCTCTCGCTGTTGAAAAAGTTCGGGCACGTCTGCTACGAGGACCGAATATGGCACGATACGAGTACGATTATGCTACGGGTACGAGTTACGAGTACCGTGCGAAAACACGTGGACACTGCAACACTGGTTTCTGGAAACTGTGTGGGGCCTGGTCGTTGCCTCGCGATCACGACCGGATGCCCGCTTTGCTCGCAGCCATGGAACCCGTGTCCTTTTTGTGTGCCTCGTCGCACGCCCTTAAGAGCACCACAAACGGAGTTGGTACCGGAGTGAAAATGCGAAATTCCGTGCCGTGCCGTGCCGAGATCCACGCCGAGGGGAAAGGAGTGCGACGTACACACTCACCGCAGGAGGATGTATCCGCACGGCCGAATGGATTGGTCTTCCAGCAACAATGGATCGGTCGAGGGTATCGATAGTTGATAAAGGACTGCAGTTTTCGTTCAGATTGAGTGGAATCGCGAGTAAAAGCGAGTGCAGAGCAAAATGCAAAACCTCGAATGGAATCCACCGTTTCGCGGTGGGACCGAAAGAACCAAGAACGTGAAAGCAAAACGGAGCAGAAACGAAGGGAATCGAACCGAACCGAACCGAACCGCAGCGGAGGACAGCCCGTACCATACACCGACACGGTAACCACACAGGCGACTGAACCAGGGCAGGCGAGAACAAAGGCAAGATCCGTGGGTTGCGCGTCGCAACACGTCGCACCGGGAAACGAACCGCGCCACTGTTTACGAATGAATTCGTGGGGTGTTTTGGTCGGCCGGTGCGAACGAACAACCGAACGAACGGATCCGGGGTGTGCCTGCCATGTGGTCCCCAGGACAAGAGCAAGCGCGAGAGCCCCGAACCCCCCCCCCCCCCGTACTAGTTTCGATCTCTTTCGTTTGGTGAATGAAAAGACTGAGCACAGGAGCAAGCGCAGGAGCCCTGTTTCCCTTTGCTATTTTGAAGCAAACACTCGAACTAAACTATCATCACCAATCTCCTCACATTGAATGAAGTCTTCCRTTGGATCAAGCACCTCATCACTTCCGTTCCTCCCCTTATGGTGACATACCTCACTTCCGTGATGAAGATGCTCTCCTCCTGCCATCGCTGGCTGGTCAGTAGACATATTGGCTTGGCACTACACCCTTCAGAGAGATTGGTTTGTGATAACTTGATACGGATTGACTTGGAGATAATATGGTTGGTTGTTGAGTATCGCAGACCGCAAAGAACAATGGGAATCCGCGCTTGATTGAGTATCGCAGACCGCAAATAACTTGAATACGGAGATCCGCACTTGATTGAGTATCGCAGACCGCAAATGCGGAGATCCGCAACAACGNGGATCCCATAGACGATGAGAAGAAGCCTACCGCGAGCTCGGATGGCAAAAGCCCATTCCAATTCCCAATGCGTTCATTTGAAGTGAAGCTGCCTTTTCTGAAGAACTCAATGACATTCAATCCGGTCGTATCCGTCATTGCGCTTGCCGTATTGTGGGGATTGACTGCCTATTGCATCGCTCAGCCCGAAAAAGCAAGCGAAACTCTGAACTTTTGGTTTAATAACACCATTGACTTGTTCACATGGTTCTATATCGGTAAGCATTACACAGTTACTAGTCTTTGAACTTGCTCCAACGCCAGTCGCACTTCCTACTCATGGGCGCATTCTCGTCACAAATAAATCTCAATCATATTTTGCCTTGCACTCACTCTTCATCGTGATCATGCCGTCCCTCATAATATACAGTTGCTAATCCGATCCTGACCTTTTTCATCTTTTGGGTTGCATACCGTTTCGGTAACATCAAACTCGGTGAAAAGGATGCGGAACCCGAGTTTTCGAATGCCAGCTACTTCGCCATGATTTTCAGTGCCGGTGTCGGTGTGGGGTTGTTCTTCTATGGAGTTAGCGAGCCTCTCTGGCACGTACGCCCAGATAATTATTTCTCGAATGCTGGATACCGCTCACAGAACGAAATCGACGAGTGGTCTCTTGTTATCACGTTGTAGTAAGTATCTTCGTGCATAACTGAACAGGGATGTGGAAATATTTGGAACCAACCAATGCTGGAAACCATGACTTTATAATCTCATTCTGTACTCAATTTTTTTTTGCCCATAATTGTTTTGCATCGGTCGCTTCACAGCCATTGGGGATTCGCTGGATGGAGTGTTTGTAAGTTCTTGATCATAGTATGAATGCAGAAGAAATTCTGCGAGTTATGTAAACACAATGTTGTCGTGCCCTCACGATTTGATTGCTGTCTGAATTCAAAATATAGACATTCTTGTGGCTCTTGCTACTGGATTAGCAAGCTATCGCTTCGGACTACCGATGACGATCCGATCAACATTTTACCCGATTTTGGGAGATTACTGCTGGGGTTGGATAGGTGATCTCATAGACAGCTACTCCATCGTAATGACCGTCGCAGGAGTATGCACATCTCTAGGTCTAGGCGCGATGCAAATGGTTGGTAAGTGTTCCTATAATGAATGCTAACTTTCATCTGTTACGAATGGTGAATTTTCTGACACAGAAGGCATTGCTTTACTTCCCCATATCTTGATACTATCTTCAGCGGGTCTACAACGTCTTGGATGGGTTGATCCTGAGAGAGAAGATCTAGAGGATGTCTACGTCATTCTTATTTGGGTTATAACCGCAGTTGCCACCATTTCCGTCGTTTCTGGGTTGTCATTCGGTATCAAAATTTTGGCCAACATCGCATTCTATTTGGGATGTCTGATCCTCTTTTTATGCTTTGTTATGGAAAACACCAAATTTTTACTGAACCTATTAGTTCAAACTACAGGATCCTACTTGCAGTGGTGTATCTTTCAGGTACCCTTCTTTACGGATGCATTTGGGGCACTCACGGAAGGTGAAGGCCGAGCGGTCGACGGAAACGGCTCGGCGTCGTGGTTCATCGGAGCATGGACTGTGTTCTATATGGCTTGGTGGGTTGCTTGGGCTTGCTTCGTGGGAATGTTCGTTGGTCGCATTTCGAAGAATAGAACACTTAGAGAAGTYATCTTCTCGGTCTTCATTTGCCCAGTCTTGTACTCTCTCATTTGGTTTTCCTTCATGGGGGGTATTGGACTTCGGCAGCAACGACAAGCCTTGGAATTACAGCAGATTGGAACTGATTCATTTAATGATTCAAGTTACTTCGTATCTGAAGAATCTGAATTTTGTTATGATGTTCCACAGSAGGACGTCGTAGTTAATGGTACTACTGTCTTCACTAATCAACTCSTCGGTATCACACCKGTCTGCACGTTCAATTCGGGCAATKCAGACGGCGCATGGTTCAATGTAAGCATTTTCCGTCCATCTATGCTCGCGTTTAGCATTGATTTTTACTAACAAAGCTCACATGAATTAAYGCTCCCCTCTACCCGAATCTTMATTGTTATTTKTCAAAAATTCTAAGGTCATGTATTCCTTTTCGTACCCTGATACTAACGGCTTTGGAGGTTTCGGACCATTCTTGTCAGGCTTGAGTATTTTTACACTTGCGATATATTTCATTACTTCCTCTGATTCGGGAAGTTTGGTTGTTGACACTCTCGCATCTAATGGGGAATCGGATCACCACTGGATTCAACGGGTGTTTTGGGCTGTGACTGAGGGAGGTAAGTTGACGGGCAAGCACGAAGTCGCAGTCGTTTCCGAAATTGGCCAGCTAATGTAGCCTCTCTCTTTCTAAAAATATGCATTCAATGATACGTTAGCGGTTGCATGTGCTCTACTCATCGCCGGAAAAGACAAAGCCCTCAAAGCATTGCAAGCGGCCAGCATTGTTTTTGGGCTRCCCTTCAATCTATTGATGTTAATCATGTGCTTGTCAGTCTATGTAATGTGCAAAGCAATTGAGGAAGGGAAGAACCCTAACAAAATCGAMCCGAWCGTTTTGCTCCCAAAAGTGGGTCAATCTTGGACCACACCTTTATTCGGTGGAATATTCAACGTTTTCGAATTTATCATTTCTCTTGGCTTCGTTCACGAGAGCAGAAAGGAAAAGGGCATGCATCTTCCCACCTCGGAGCAATCAGTTGAATTCCTTAAGGCYCTATTTTTACCCTTTCTGTCGTTTTACCAAGTTTACACTAGTGCTGTCATGGACCCGAAACAAAAGAACAAGWCAAGAAATGCTCTGCTGACTGTGGTATATGCYCTCTGTTACGTTGGATGGATTGTCCTCTTTAGCCTTGGAGCAATTAACCATGGATTCATTGCTTTGGGTTGGTCGCTCTTTTTTACCAACGCATGTATCCTCACCGTGTTACGCATGAACTTTCGAGCTCGACTCACGATTCGTGGTAACTTCATTGGTGACTTCTTTGCTTCGTCGTTCATGTACCCGCAAGCTCTGGCTCAGATGGTTATCCAACTGAATAGTGATGMGGCATCGGAGTTGGTCGAAGTAGAAACGCGCTGAGTATTTCAGACGATAGAGCTCCGGTCGCTTGATTATCGCCGTTGTAATGACTTATATGGATATATTTACTTCTACAATAATTATTTTAAATGAATGTTGGACACAAAGGTTTTCCTAAATAAGATGCTGGTAGTCTCAGAACATTTGCAATGATACGACCTTTGCAAGTGGAAATAAGTTCAATATTTGAGTCATTTTTTATGACTAGTAGATTTTAGTGTCGTTTCTTTTATCTACATTCTTGTACTCGATGTTTGTCACAGCTGGATTTAACAAACKACTTTGTAGTATGTGTACTGYAATCATCGCTAACAGAGATGATTAAATGTTGCAACAATGGCATCATACATCTCTGTTGAACAAGAGGAATGAAAAATATGATGAGAGAGTTCTTCTTACTACTGAGAATTGTAGCCTGGGATGACATATATGTAGTACTAGGTAATTATCCAACTGACAAGAGGGGAGCTGATTCTAGCTAGTCTGCCAGAAGAACAAGAAGAGTTACCCTAGTACAATACAACTAGAGAGGAAAATCAATTTACTTATAGAACTYAGGTTTTTCCTGGTGGTGGATATATTATCATATCATCATTCTGGATACACACACATATTCTCACAAGCTGAATAGATAACTATGTTCACAGCAACAGATTTGTGTAAGTCGAAAACAGTCCTCATTAGTAGCACTGCTTGTAGAAAATGGAAAGTAGCTGAAACGAATAGCCTCAATTTTTTTTTACATGCTATTTTACAATAAGGTCATTTCATCTAGTGCCTTGGTTTGGGAAAGTTCCGAGGCAGTAGAAATTTTTAGCGGTTTCAAGCAGCTGGGGCGAAAACTACACGACCATTCAATGTGGCCATGGCATTTGAAAAGATATCACTAAAGTCTTCCAATCTTTCGGCTTCGCCGTTGGCTGTAAAAAACATAAAGATCTGAACAAGTTGCTCGCTGCAAGCGATTGCAGACTTATTCCTATCGTATTGATGAGGATTGAGTAGATRGAGGCCTTGTTCGTTTTGTCCTAGTTGATAATCGAGTTCCTTGTGGACTTCGCCCACATTACTTTTCACCACGACTGCTATTGGTAAGTCGGAACAAAGCAAGCCGGAACTTGAAAAGATCAACGTTGAGTGGCAGAGTTCGTAAAGTCGGAGAGTTTTTGTGAGGGCAGAACATACTTCGTGACTTCGGCTCAGTTCATCCCTAACGTTGTGGTAGATTTTTTCACTGACTTCCTGCGCCCATAAGTGATGCGCTAGGCTTAGGTTGAATAATACAATGGACAAAAGTTTGCAAGTCCGTCCTTCGGTATCAGTCAAAAACGATGTTTCTGAGAAAGACGTTGAGCGCGATGTGCCCTCCTGTTGTGCGCACGCAATTACCTCTATCGGTGAACCGAAGATGTATCTTGGAATCCGCCTCGATGTTTCTGGATCGGTATTCGTCTGCGTGTGCTGGGAGGATTGAAGGAATCGGTAACGAACTTGCCTCTCTCCTTCCAAAGGACATTTCTTCATGATTGCAAGAGAACGAGTGAGTCGAACCATAGCACCCTTRTTATTCCCAGCGCGTAACAGGGACACTCCATCGTTGTTTGTCTGCAGGATCGATTCTTCCATTGCTTGACTCATGCCATGCAGAGACAGCCGTTTGTGTATATATTATCTTTAGAGTGTTTCGATTTGATGATGTTTTCAATAATGGTTAGAGATATGAAAATAGTGAGATTATATGCAGAAAAACTTGGAACACCGTTCAGCCCTCACGGTGCACCATAGCTTGAGTGTCTCGCAATCCAAAAAATGATGCTTTTTTGTTTTGCAAGGTTTTACTTCATTATATTCATTAAATATCGCGCTGTCCCGAAACCAGCGAGGTTCAAAATGTAACGAGAAGAACTCAATTATGTTCTAAAAAAAGACGCGACTACTAAATGTATAACCGAGGCACTACCAAAAATCACCAATAAAATGCGCTATTGTACATCGATTACTCAATTAATCCTCTCTTGAATATCCAAATAGACTTCGACGGTTCTCGACAGAGAAAGAACGTGCTAAAAAAAATATCTTTTGCGCACTTCTTTTTGATTGACTCATCACGTGAAAAAAAGAAGAACAGTTTTGAGAACTCAGTACGTAAGTACTTTTCATTGTCAATATTCATTGTGAAGTCGTGAGATCAAAAATGAAGAAGAGGGTAGGAATAAGTACAAGCTACTTTATTTCAAAGTACGAATAGGATGAGTCTAACTACGGATCGGAAACACGAATCAAATCGTTTTCTGATTTTTTGTGGAATGAAGAAATGATAAAATCAAAAAAATTACTTATAGTNACTTGAATACGGAGATCCGCACTTGATTGAGTATCGAAGCGTCGCACGCCGGTCCCTTGAGTATCCGCAAACGCAACGGCCATTTGCTTGAGTATCCGCAAACGCAACAGCCGTTTGCTTGAGTATCGAAGCGTCGCAGGCCAGCTCCTTGAGTGTCCGCAAACGCGAATCGCTTGAGTATCGAAGCGTCCGCACGCCGGTCCCTTGAGTATGAGACAGTTAATCGCCGTTTCGCTTGAGTATCRAAGCGTCCGCATACCAGTTCCTTGAGTATCGAAGCCTCCGCACGCCGGTCCCTTGAGTATGAGACAGTTAATCGCCGTTTCGCTTGAGTATGGAAGCGTCCGCACGCCAGTCCCTTGAGTTTGAATGAGCGCTTGCGGAAGAGTATGAATGAGCGCTTGCGGATGAGCGTTTTCGTTGTTTGCTTGCGGATGGGGCGATTTGATGTGTTTGCTCGTATTTTCGGTGGTGGAGGTGCAGCATTGGATGGAGGTGCCTCAGTACTGATTCGCTGTATAAAGGTTTTGTACTACTGTACTGTAATGTACAGGGGGTACATGGGCATGGCAGGCAAGCCAGCCGGCCCTGGAGGTTCGGAATTGCCTTTAACTTGCCAGTACTGGAATTGTACTTAGTAGCTCTACTCGTTTCCATTCGAACAAGGAGCAGCTCTGCTGAGTCCCCGTACTATTTTCGAACTTTTTATTTACTTAGGTCAGTGAAAAAGACCGACCATAATTACAAGCGCACAAGTTCCTGTACAGGCAGAGATTTGCTGAGTCCCGAGTTCCCGTGTTATTTTTGAACTAGAAGTATTAATTTTGGTAGATGAAAGAAAAATACTGTACGAGTTAAGTACGAGTTTGGGTTCGAATTAAGACGTGACAGCTTTTTAACGGTAGGGATTCTACAGGACTCTACGTGTGGAACAATAGTCTTAATTCAGACCACAACGGGCAAGCTGTCACTTAGTTCCACCTGGAACCAAAAAGGAACTATTTTATATCGAATTATTTCCTATTTTCGGACCTTTCCGAGCTCACTTTTTTCCTCTCAGAAATCAGATCTTCGAATCGAAATGGACTTCCGGACACTGCTTATTTGCATGGAATAAAATCGAAATCAGAATCGATTCCAAGAACAGATTTCTCTTAACATAAAATAAATAAATCGCTTACTACTGGAGCGCTCTCTAAGGCACTTACTACTGGAGCGCTAAGGCGCTAACTACTGGGCTTCACTCTTATAAGCTCGGAACTTTCGACGTGGCTTTTTTCCTCTCAGAATTCACGTCTTTGAATCGAAATCGACATCGGGACACTGCTTATTTGCATGCAATAAAATCGAAATCGAAATCGATTCCAAGAACAGATTTCTCTTAACATAAATTACACTTACACTTCAGCAACTTCACCAACTACACCAGGATCAGTATCAACTAAGCCTTTCACTCCCTCCAGTACCTCAACAGAGATATTTGAAGCAACTCTTTCTTCTTCACTCAAACTGGCAAGGAAAGAAAGTGCTTGGTTCTTCAATCTCTCCCTCTCTCTTCCATAGGCAGTTTCTCTGATTGTTATCTCATCATCTTTCAGTCTCTGCAATAGAGCCTCAT